CTGGGGAGGGCAGCTCTGAGCTCCTGCCCCAGCGCGGCTGCCCGTCCCAGCCCGTGACCACCCCACTCCTAGCGATGACCTTGTCCACAGGTCCTGACCCACCTGCGGTTCGTGTCCCACGTGGTGATTGGTGTGCTCATTGGCCTCCTCTACCTGCACATCGGAGACGACGCCAGCAAGGTCTTTAACAACACGGGCTGCCTCTTCTTCTCCATGCTCTTCCTCATGTTCGCTGCCCTGATGCCCACCGTGCTCACCTGTGAGCAGAGCTGCCTGGGCAGGGGCAAGGGTGCTGGGCAGGGGCAAGGGTGCTGGGCAGGGGCAGGTGCTGGGCAGAGGCGGGGTGCTGGGCAGGGGGAGGGTGGCTGGGCAGGGGGGTGCTGGACAGGGGGAGGGTGCTGGGCAGGGGGAGGGTGGCTGGGCAGGGGGGTGCTGGACAGGGGGAGGGTGCTGGGCAGGGGGAGGGTGGCTGGGCAGGGGGGTGCTGGACAGGGGGAGGGTGCTGGGCAGGGGGAGGGTGGCTGGGCAGGGGGGTGCTGGACAGGGGGAGGGTGCTGGGCAGGGGGAGGGTGGCTGGGCAGGGGGGTGCTGGACAGGGGGAGGGTGCTGGGCAGGGGGAGGGTGGCTGGGCAGGGGGGTGCTGGACAGGGGGAGGGTGCTGGGCAGGGGGAGGGTGGCTGGGCAGGGGGGTGCTGGACAGGGGGAGGGTGCTGGGCAGGGGGAGGGTGGCTGGGCAGGGGGGTGCTGGACAGGGGGAGGGTGCTGGGCAGGGGGAGGGTGGCTGGGCAGGGGGGTGCTGGACAGGGGGAGGGTGCTGGGCAGGGGGAGGGTGGCTGGGCAGGGGGGTGCTGGACAGGGGGAGGGTGCTGGGCAGGGGGAGGGTGGCTGGGCAGGGGGGTGCTGGACAGGGGGAGGGTGCTGGGCAGGGGGAGGGTGGCTGGGCAGGGGGGTGCTGGACAGGGGGAGGGTGCTGGGCAGGGGGAGGGTGGCTGGGCAGGGGGGTGCTGGACAGGGGGAGGGTGCTGGGCAGGGGGAGGGTGGCTGGGCAGGGGGGTGCTGGACAGGGGGAGGGTGCTGGGCAGGGGGAGGGTGGCTGGGCAGGGGGGTGCTGGACAGGGGGAGGGTGCTGGGCAGGGGGAGGGTGGCTGGGCAGGGGGGTGCTGGACAGGGGGAGGGTGCTGGGCAGGGGGAGGGTGGCTGGGCAGGGGGGTGCTGGACAGGGGGAGGGTGCTGGGCAGGGGGAGGGTGGCTGGGCAGGGGGGTGCTGGACAGGGGGAGGGTGCTGGGCAGGGGGAGGGTGGCTGGGCAGGGGGGTGCTGGACAGGGGGAGGGTGCTGGGCAGGGGGAGGGTGGCTGGGCAGGGGGGTGCTGGACAGGGGGAGGGTGCTGGGCAGGGGGAGGGTGGCTGGGCAGGGGGGTGCTGGACAGGGGGAGGGTGCTGGGCAGGGGGAGGGTGGCTGGGCAGGGGGGTGCTGGACAGGGGGAGGGTGCTGGGCAGGGGGAGGGTGGCTGGGCAGGGGGGTGCTGGACAGGGGGAGGGTGCTGGGCAGGGGGAGGGTGGCTGGGCAGGGGGGTGCTGGACAGGGGGAGGGTGCTGGGCAGGGGGAGGGTGGCTGGGCAGGGGGGTGCTGGACAGGGGGAGGGTGCTGGGCAGGGGGAGGGTGGCTGGGCAGGGGGGTGCTGGACAGGGGGAGGGTGCTGGGCAGGGGGAGGGTGGCTGGGCAGGGGGGTGCTGGACAGGGGGAGGGTGCTGGGCAGGGGGAGGGTGGCTGGGCAGGGGGGGGCCGGACAGGGGCAGGGTCCTGGCAGGGCGGGGGCCTGATGGCGGCGTGCCCTCAGTCCCCTTAGAGATGGCCGTCTTCATGAGGGAGCATCTCAACTACTGGTACAGCCTCAAGGCCTATTACCTGGCTAAGACCATGGCCGACGTGCCCTTCCAGGTGAGCCTCTCCCTCCCACCTGCCCGCCCCTTCCCTTCCGCCTCACTCCTTCCAGCCTTGCTTGCTTGCCTCCCTCCATCTTGTCACCCATCATCTTTTCCTTTACTTCTACTCACTTCAAAAATTGGTGGTAAGGATCTGCTGTGTGCCAGGCTCTGTGCCAGGCAGGACCCAGTAGTGAACAAGATGGATGGTTTTTAAAAAATATATATATATACCTAGGGGCTCGGTGCATGAAATTCGTGCACTCAGTCGCCCCCAACTGCCCTCCCCTGCCGGCCTGGTCACCCCCAACTGTCCTCCCCTGCTGGCCATCTTTGACCACATGGGACAGCCATCTTGTGTGAGGGCGTGAGGATCAATTTGCATATTACCTCTTTATTATATAGGATATTTCTTTAAAATTTTTTTTTTTTAATATTTTTTTATTGATTTCAGAGAGGGAGGGAGAGAGAATCATTGATCGGCTGCATCCTGCACGCCCCATACTGGGGACCGAGCCCATAACCTGGGCATGTGCCCTTGACCAGAATCGAACCTGGGACCTTTTAGTCCACAGGCTGACTCTCTATCCACTGAGCCAAACCAGCTAGGGCTATATATTTCTTTATTGATTTCAGAGAGGAAGGGTGAGGGAGAGAGAGATAGAAACATCCCTGATGAGAGGGAATCATTGATCGGCTGCATCCTGCACGCCCCCCACCCCCCCTAGAGAGAATCATTGATCGGCTGCATCCTGCACGCCCCATACTGGGGACCGAGCCCATAACCTGGGCCCCCTTACTTGACCAGAATCGAACCTGGGACCTTTTAGTCCACAGGCTGACTCTCTATCCACTGAGCCAAACCAGCTAGGGCTATATATTTCTTTATTGATTTCAGAGAGGAAGGGAGAGGGAGGGAGAGAGAATCATTGATCGGCTGCATCCTGCACGCCCCCCACCCCCCCTCTGGGGATCGAGCCCACAACCCAGTCATGTGCCCTTGGCCAGAATCAAACCCGGGACCCTTTAGTCCACAGGCCGATGCTCTGTCCACTGAGCGACACAGGCCAGGGCGACTCCGTGAATCTTATTTGAAGCGTATAGGACAGTGCAGGCTCTGGAGCCTTGCTGCTGGGATCGCTGTGAGACACCGGGCAGGTTGCCGCATGTCCCTGCCTCAGAGTCCCATCTGTGGAATGGGATGATGACGGAATCGAGCTTGGGAACAGTTGTGAGAACTAAATGAGTTAATACATGTTAAGTACTGAGAATGGTGCATGGTACACACTCGAGTGTCCAATAACTGTTAGCTATTTGGGGTTTTGTTGCCCCCACCACCTGCTTCAAGCACTAGGGCCCCCCAAAACCCATATGGCACCTTTGTGCAAATTAGTAAAAGGTGCCCCTTGCCCTGGCTGGTGTGGCTCAGTGGTAGAGCATTGTGGATTAAAGGGTCCCGGGTTCGATTCCGGTCAAGGGCTCATACCTGCAGGTTCCCCGGCCCTGGTTGGGGTGCATGCAGGAGGCGACCAGTCGATGTGTCTCTCTCACATCCATGTTTCTCTGCCTCTCCCCCTCCCTTCCACTCTCTCTAAAAATCAATGGAAAGATATCCTCAGGTGAGGATTCACAACAACAACAAAGTGCCCCTTCCTCAGGGAGGGTGCTGTGCTAGGCCCAGTGCCTTCGGCTGCCTCTTTTTTTTGGGGGGGGGGCGCTGCCTCTTGATCGATGTCCTTGTGCAGGGAACAGCCTGCATGACTGTACGTAGTAGGCTTAGTCCTTGCCCTTCAGGAGTTAATCACTCACAGGGGACAAAACTCCCGTGTGGAATTAATAATTAACAATGTGAGGCAGAAGCGCGTCGGGCGGGAGGGACGTGGGAGCTCGGGGAGGAAGCTCTGCCTCCGCTGGTCTGAGGGCCTCGAGGAGGAGGCGCCTGGATGAGGCATGAGGGTCACATGGCCAGGGAGGAGGACACGTGACGGGCAGCATGAACGGGAGTGCGAGGGCAGGACTGGGCCTGAGCATCCCAGGAAAAGCTGCTCTAGGGGTTCCTGCCCGGACAACGCAGAGGGGCTGGCTGCTGTGCCCCCCCAGGTGGTGTGCCCCGCCGTGTACTGCAGCATCGTGTACTGGATGACGGGCCAGCCCGCGGAGACCAGCCGCTTCCTCCTCTTCTCGGCCCTGGCCACGGCCACGGCGTTGGTGGCCCAGTCTCTGGGGCTGCTCATTGGAGCTGCCTCCAACTCCCTGCAGGTGGGAAGCTGGCACTGGGGGCTCTGAGGGGAGGAGACCCGAGGGAAACCGGCCGGCCGCCCTGTGATGGCCCGCCCCTCCCCCCCCCCCCCCCCCTCCCGGGGGG